ACTTTCATTCGCTCATTTTTTCCACAGGTTAATTTCAAAAGTCCAGAGGATCCTTCTGTAGCATCTACAAGTACTTTATACGACACTCAAGCAAAGCCAAAGAAAATTAAGGAAGACCAAAGAAGCAAGACAGATGCTCACCAGGTTGGCCTCCTTGCTTTGCCAGCCTCACATAAGCTGAATCAGTATCTTTGATCCACTTCTTGAGGCACCCAGAAGGTGGCAATTCATGGGGAGCTTTTGAAAGGTCACTGAGACTCTGGGATATTGGGGGAAGTGGGCTCTTCTCTGGTTGTTTTGGTGGCATGGGGTATTACCGTCCTGCAATAATGGAAAAGAAAATATTTATAGTAAAAGTTAACTACTAGCATTCCTTTTTCAGGCAACTGACAAATTGAGCCCACCTGGAACATGAATGAGGTGCTACATTTCAGCTTGGAGACAAAAGACCAGGCTTGCTTATTCCAGGGGATATAGCATTTTTGTTTCAGTTTTGAAACAGCATTCAAGTTTTCCTGTAAAATGTTCTAATTCACTTCAATCAGAAAACTATTTCCAAGGGCACCAAAAGCAGCAAGATGCACTAGAGACAGCAAGAAACACTAAAGCCTTTGGTTTCCTTTCCTTTTCATGCAGTAACAAAAACAGCACTTGTCCGTTTGCAGGTCTTTATGTGTAAAACAACCAAACCCGATCCCCAAATAAAAATCATTTTAAAAACCAACACTCGACACCCTTCGTCTCCGTACATTACTTTCTCAACTTCTAGTGAGCAAAAGAAAATATAAATAAATCCTTCATAATGGTAAAATGGACAGAAAGCAAACAAGAAAAAGCCAGTCGAAGGCACTGTGCCATGGAAGGTTAACAGGCACTTACCGAAGCTATTCCAGGTGCAGCTGATGCCGTTCCGTCGGTGTAAGTAGACCACTTCCAGGCTGCAGCCCGCTGAGCAGCCTCTGGGCACACACACGCGTTGCCTGTGCCCAAACTCAGCCCCAAGGAACAACAACAACAACCCAAAGCGCTGCCTCTCGCCGGCGACAGGGGCCCGGAGGCACCAGCCGGCGCCCGCTGCCGGCCCCACGGCAGGTCTGTCCAAGGCTGCGCGACCCCGTCGCCCCGGCGCTCTCCCGCTGGTGCTGCCCAGGGTCCCCCCGCTACCGCAGCTCAGAGACCGAACCGCGGTTACCCGACCGGGGACCGACATCCCCCAGGGAACGGGCGGGACAGGCCCCGAGGGTGAGTCGCGGGAGGAGTCGGACCCCGCAGAGACGAGGGACCTTCCTCCCTCCCTTCCTCCCTTTTTTCCTCCCTTCCTCCCTCCCTTCCTTCCTCCCTCCCTCCGCGGGCGGCCGAGGGCGGTGCGATGCTCGCTACTCGCGGTAGTAGCAGCCCGGAGACGACGCGAGAGGCGCCCACCCGGATCGCGCCACTACTGGGAAGAAAAAGAAATTAACTCCATCCCAGCTGAAACCCGTACAAAATCCACCCCCTTTTCCATGCCCTTTACCATTCTGTACTATTTAGTCTTTGCTTTCTGGACGGTTCGTGATCGTTTCCAGGATTCCTGGACGACTGGGGGTTTCCTATTGGAGCTCCGTGTCTGATCAGTCTGACTCACTTACTCCGTGTAGCACCGGTTGCAGCCGTGTAGAGGAGACCCTCCCTTAGAACGGCCAACACGAGTAACCGGGATGCCAGGACCTATGCTTCAGTACAAATCACTTCCAAAGCAGCTCAAACCCCTTCATAAGCTACCAATATCTCTTTTTAAGTTGGAGTAGAGTGGACTTCAGATCCTCTGTATCCCCAGCTCCAGAAACCTAGGGGGAGACCCCAAGTGTCCGCTGGCACTTTCTGCCAGAGGCTCCAGGTAGGACCATTCTCCCCGGCTGCAGTAGAGAGCACATTTTTTAAGTCTTGCCCTGCCTGGACTGGCCCAAGGGTGACTACATGAACTGTCTCCTGTTTGATTTTTTCAAAGGCTTATTGTTGCTCAGGGCTGGTTGCATCATGCTGTGGGGCGTGCCAGGTTGCACACTGGTTGGTTAGCTTGTGTATGTTCCATGTATCTTCTGTGCTGTGTGGCAATCCCACCCTTCCCAAACAAACCCATCCCCACACAAACTGCTGCTGCTTAATGCTTTTTATTGGTTGACCAAGCTTGGGGGGCTAGAAGCAGGGGTGGGGCTCTTGGGAGTCTACAGGGGACAGCTGGGAGTTCAGATGGGATGGTTGGGAGTCCAGAGCTTCACTCCTCATTGAGTCCTTTCTGATAGAGAAAGAGAGAAAGGGAGTGTGAGCATGGGGCAGTGGTCAGATGGCTGTGGGGCAGCGGTCAGATG